CTGGGTCCTCGCGGAGCCCGACATGGACACCGTTAGAGCAACGGGGTATTTCGACGTCGACCAGCCAGGCTCCAAGGCGCAGCAACCGTCCCTGCTCCGCAAAGCGCTGGCTCACCGTTGAAAGCTTTGTCCACTCCCCAGTCCCGCTGCGAAATGCAATCGTGCGGGCCGAGGCTTGCAAGCCGCCATTGCCAACCAAAGGAGCAGAAGCACCAGGAGATGTGCATTTCTCATTTCAATAATGCATATGGGTGTGTAGGGTGGGGCGCAGCAGACGGCCGTTGGACGGTAGGGGAACGCTTGGCTAAAAGCAAAGGGGAGCAGAGGCATCCGTTTTTGGAGGCGAAACCCTCCGTTTCTGGAGGCCCTGGGATCCCATTTTCACCCAAAACTTCTACAAACCAAAACATGTAAGGGCCGAACTAGTACTCAGGTGGGTGACCACTGGGGAATCCTCGGTGTTGTATGTTTTTGCCGTCTTTTTTTTTTTTTTTTTTTGAACGGGTGAGGGCTGCTTGCTCGCGTCCGAATTATGGGTTTATGAAACAGTTTAGAAGAAACAAGAGAGGAAGGAGCCCAACCCTTTTGGATATGGGGCCGCATGGAAGCCCACTTGGACGGCCACGGTCCAACCCGAAGTGATATGGGATGAGAACCACGGCGCCATGTCTCGACGACCCTATTTCTCTTCCAGAAGCGGAATGCAAGCGACTACTCCGCCACGCCCGGCGGAGAGCGTGCATCGTTCGAGAGCAGTGTCCCGCTTAGTGACCAGGCCGACAGCCCTTCCGCTGAGCGCCGCGAGTTTCAACATTAGCTAACAGCTCAAATCCCGAGTTGGCTATACAACTCCAATTTTACACCTACCTTACCTGCCCAGGCAGGCGTGTATTGCTACTGGTGGCCTGTCCCTCCGCTGGCGACCCCAATGTGCCTACTGAGGGAAGCCTCTATAAGTCGCCTATCTACTCCATACTGTCCCCCATGGGTCCGCCCCTGCTAGTCGTGCCACACGGGCGACGTCGGCGTGATCTTTTTCAGCCCATCCTTTGCCGCCCTGAGCCTGCCCTCGTCCGGAGCGGGCATGCCGCTGGCGCGCAGCAAAGCCGCCCTCATGAGAAGCTGCTGGTCGGCCAGTTCGGGCCAGTGCGTGGAGCCCCACCTCCATGTGCTCCTGTGGCCTTCCGTATTATACCTCTCGTAGCGGTCGCGGAAGATGTGGTGGTCCCTCATGGCATAAAAGGGGTCCCACCTGTACCGATTGAGATCCGAGGCCAGAATGGGCAGCGGGTCCTGCTCCAGAGGCGATTTGAGGAAGGCTAAAAGGGCGCGTAATTGGTCGTCAGTCGGCGGGTATAGTGTGAATGGTCCCTGGCGACGGCCGTCGTGGAAATAAACAGCGTTGCACTGCGGATTTGAGGGGCGGGTTAGCACCTGGACGCGGCATACACAAGCACGAGCAAACGGAGGGCGAGGGCCTTACTTCGCTGTCGGACTTGCCCCGATCAAAAACCACGACGCCGCCGAAAATCATGCATTCTGCCCAATACCCAACCATGTCCGCTTCGCCGTCGGGATACTGCTCAACGGCTGTATAGCTGCGGTGGCTGAACGGGGTCTCCGGCAGGGGGACCGAATAAAATCGCTGGCTCAGCACCTGGATTTGCATCTCGGACGCGAGCCAGTCCCTGTGCACCTTGCGCTTGTGGACGCCGTCGTCCGTCTGGAACAAACGGACGGCAATGGAATGGCAGGCGACGGCCGTCATTTCGACGAGACGCAAGTCGAACTCGGGGCTTCCAACCTTGGCGGCGTTGAACGCGCGCAGGAGCTGGCGCCGGAACTGCAGCTGGCGACCGGCGTCGAACGTGCGTCCGAACTCCCTAATCTTCCCCAGGGCGGCTTCGCAAATTACGCTGTGGTTGAGTTCGTATATGGGGTGTGACCTCATGGGCGGCAGGAATGCCTCCCACGTCTGGATCGTCGGCAGCCCGTCAAATATTTGAGCGTATGCATTTTGCGCCACGGCCGTTACAAGGACATTGCCGATAGCGAGCTGGAAATGCAAAAAATGGTCGGCATCGAGGGCGCTGGCGGCAGTATCAGTGTCAAACTCGGGCATCGCGGGTATGTTGTCGCAGGCGGCAAAGGTGTTTGGAATTGAGGAAAGCTGCACAAATTTGGGAAACACTTGGCATCGACCACCTCCCGCCATGCGGGGGCAGTGGACTCCCGCGCAGCATTGCGGAGCCGGCCCCAAGCCCTAAAAGTTGTTGCAAGGTGCAGCAGGCCTTTAGAAGGAGCCCAAGCTTTAGAAGGAACCCAAGCTTTAGATATGGGGCACTTCTCGACGCCCTCTGGGGCCGAATGGAAGCCCGCTTGGACGGCCACGGTTTGAACCGAAGTGATATGGGGGTCTTCTCCATACAAAGGTCTAGATTCATGCAGGCAGGGGAGAGGAAGTACAACATCACATAGGAAACGAAATACGCAAGCACGGGCGAATACGACGGAAATTATGCCGGAAAAAAAAACGGGGGTGACCCCTGGTGAAGGCTTAAAAGGTTATCCCGGTTAGGGACGGGCCCTTCCACCACCGCGCGGGTCCCTTACGCCACTCCCATGCCCCATGTCCATGTCGACAACCATGTCGATAACCATGTCGATGCCTGTGCTTGACGCGAGCGGGACCGCGCGCGAGGACTGACACGGAACCGTTCCACCCAGGCCGTCGCCGACCCTGGGCACAATCACCGGGCGAGTCGGCCGAGATGGGGCTCGGACGGGCTCTCCACTGTCAAAAGACAGGTGCCTGGCCGTGACTCGAGTCGGTGACGATCAGACATAGCCGTCAGATGCGAGGGAGGGGTTTCCATTCCCTGGCGTGACCGGTGTGGCCGACCCCGCCTGACAAGTTTTACGAGTCGTGACAGTGGGCGAAGCTGGAGCTGTCGTGTGGACTGCACACGGAGCGGACTTGGGGAGTTGTTTACAGGGACCTTTTCACCTGGCCCTTTCAACGGGTGTTGTAACAGAGGCACGGCTTTCGTCACACCAACTACACAGATGGGCAGTTAATTCTGATGGTTTCATACGAGTGCAATCCAAAGGGGAAATTAGAGATGTAGATTACATGTTAACTTTGGCGAGGCAGGCTTGGATGTCGTCAACGCCGCGGTAAGCCGTACCGTTAGCTCCGGGCAAGTCGTTAATCTAGGCCAAGACAGCTCGCCAGCAATGTTGTTGCCAAATGCCATTACTTGGCAACAGGTACAGAAGCAGTTGTTGCACACTGCAGTGTTTGTCTATGGCCACACCACCTCTACGTAATCAATTGGGCATTATGGTAAGACAAAATGGAAGCATTTCTCAAAGATTGTTGATGTAATAAACTTGGATTGCATGTCCGTAGTAATCATTCATGTAAATAAGTACAAAAGAGATAAAGGTACTGCCAAACCGTCTGTCTAAAATCCGCCTAGTTAAAATGGTAATAGCCGGGTACGACCCGGGAAGAAAAGAAAAGAAGAATCACCAGTGGTCTTTTAGACCCATTCATTACTTCTTGCTCGCAAATTTGGATCCGAGGTCGAAGCGGTCCGCGTTCATGACCTTGACCCAGGCCTTGACGAAGTCGCGGACGAAGCGCTCGCCCGAGTCCTTCTGGGCATAGACCTCGGTGATGGCCCTCAGCTCGGCGTGCGAGCCGAAGACGAGGTCGGCGCGGGTGGCGGTGAACTTCTCGGCGCCGCTAGCGCGGTCGGTGCCCTTCCAGACCTCCTTGTCGCCGGCGCTAGCGGGCTTCCAGACGGTGTTGATGTCCAACAGGTTGACGAAGTAGTCGTTGGTCAGCTTGCCGGGCTGCGCCGTCAGGACGCCCGTCTTGGAGCCGTCAGAGTTGGTGCCCAGGACGCGCAGGCCGCCGACGAGGGCCGTCAGCTGCGGCGGGGTCAGGGCTAGCTGCGAGGCGCGGTCGACGAGGATCTCCTCGGTGAGGGAGCGCGAGTTGCCGCGGCCGAAGTTGCGGAAGCCGTCGGCGACGGGCTCCATCAAGCGGAAGGACTCGACGTCGGTCTGCTGCTGGGTCGCGTCGGTGCGGCCGGCGGAGAAGGGGACGGAAATGTTGGGCAGGCCGGCCTCGTGCGCGGCCCTCTCGACAGCAGCCGAACCGCCAAGGACGATAAGATCAGCGAGGGAGACCTGCTTGCCACCCTTGCTGTTGAAGTCGGTCTGGACGGCCTTGAGGGCATTGAGGACGGTGTCGAGCTCCTTGGGGTTGTTGACGGCCCAGGTGCGCTGGGGCTGCAGCGCGATGCGGGCGCCGTTGGCGCCGCCGCGCTTGTCCGAGTGGCGGAAGGTCGAGGCGGAGGCCCAGGCGGTCGAGACGAGGTTCGACACGGTCAGGCCGGGCGCGGCCAGGACCAGCTGCTTGAGCGAGACGACGTCGGCGTCGCTAATGCCGTAGGGGTTGACGGCAGGGACGGGATCCTGCCAGAGAAATTCCTCCTTGGGCACCTCGGGGCCGAGGTAGCGGGAGCGGGGGCCCATGTCGCGGTGGAGGAGCTTGAACCAGGCCTTGGCGAAGGCAACGTTCAGCTCCTGGGGGTTGTCGAGCCAGCGCTTGGTGATTTTGGCGTAGGCCGGGTCCCGGATCAGGGCCAGGTCGCTAGTAAGCATGGTGGCCTTGCGGAACTTGGTCTTGTCGAACGGGTCGGGGTAGTCGACGGTGCCGTTGACAGCCTCCCAGTGCTTGGCGCCGCCGGGGCCGGTGACGAGCTGCCACTGGTTGCCGTACAGGCTCTCGAGGAAACCATTGCTCCACCTGAAGAATCGAGAAGTGGTTAGTACAGATCAAAGATCCGGACAGGCTTTGCGTGGGTTTGTGCTTACTTGGTAGGAGTCTTGGTCCACACGACCTCGAGGCCGCTAGTCCTCGTATCGGGGCCGTTTCCTTTGTTGACCTTGTTGATCCAGCCGAGGCCCATGCCCATGTCGTTGGCCTCGGGCTCGGGGCCAATGTTGTCCCCCCCCGGCACGGCGCCGTGGGCCTTGCCGAAGGCGTGGCCGCCGGCGATGAGGGCCACGGTCTCCTCGTCGTTCATGCCCATGCGCGCAAAGGCGGTGCGGATGTCGAGGGCCGAGTCCTCGGGCTTGGAGTTCCCGTCGGGGCCCTCGGGGTTCACGTAGATGAGGCCCATGTGGGTGGCGGCCAGGGGCTTCTCGAGGTTCGCGGCGCGCCCGCGGGCGTCGACGCTGCCGTTGTAGCGCACGTCGTTACCCTTGGGCACGAAGGTGGTCTCGGCGCCCCAGTAGATGCCCTCGTCCGACTGGAAGGTGTCGGCCCGGCCGGCGCCGAAGCCCAGGGTCTTGAAGCCCATGGACTCGAGCGCGACGTTGCCGGCGAGGAGCATGAGATCGGACCACGAGATGGCGTTGCCATACTTTTGCTTTATGGGCCCTATTGAGGGTTAGCTGGATGCAACTGGGGTGTGTAGAGGGGGAATTCTTCACATACAAATCAACATGCGAGCCTTGTCGAGGTTTTCGTTGTCGGGCCAGCTGTTCAGCGGAGCAAACCGTTGTTGACCCTACAAGCGCACGTTAGCTGATGCCCCGACGGAGGGGGGCTGAAAAGTGCGGCTAAGCTCACCATTCCGCCACCGCCACGACCATCCATAGCGCGATATGTGCCAGCGCTATGCCAAGCCATCCGAATAAACAGACCGCCATAGTGGCCAAAGTCGGCGGGCCACCATTCCTGGGACTTGGTCATGAGCTCCGTAAGGTCCTTCTTGAGCGCATTGTCTGCAGCGTGTGTTAGGATACATGCCCCAAAGGCGTTCCGGGAGAGGAAAGAAAAAGCAGACAGGTACTCACAATCGAGGGACTTGAAGGCTTCTGTGTAGTCAAAGTCGTCACCCAGGGGGTTCGTCTGGGGCGCGAACTGGCGCAGGACGTCGAGCCTCAGCTGGCACGGCCACCAGTCGGTGCTGCGGGTGCCGCCGCCGGCCATGTTGCTGTTCTGTGGGCAGCGGCCAAAGGGCGTTGCGGCGGCAGGGCTGCCGCTCTTGGGAACCTCGCGCGCTTGCTGCTGCGAGAAGGGGCACGAGGGGCTGGCCTGGGCGAGGGGCGCGGCTGTCAACAGACAGCCGGCCAGCATGGTGGCGAAGCTGGGGGAGCGCATTCTCTAGGACGTGAGCCTTTGCTGGGCAAGTGAAAGGACCGAAAAGGACTGTAATTTGCTGCACAAAACTGACCAAGCAGGGGATGGCAGGCGAGCGCTTGAGGAACAGAGAATCCCCATCCCAACAGACACAGCCTGGCGCGCTCTCTCTTATAGCTGGCCGATCAGGGACAGACATTCAAGTGCGGACATTCTATTTTGAGAGCCAAACGTGACCTGGCCCCGCCTCGCCCATGCATAAGGCTTCAAGATTACGAGCGAGCGGTGGACTGGGGCCTGGGCCTTGGCGGTGTCTGTTGATCAACTGGGGAGCTTCCAATGTTGATGACAAGCTCCTCGAGACATCCACCAGGCCTGGGAGGGCTAGGCGCCACTGAGGCACAGGGGTACGGTGGCCCGGGTGCCCAGCTGGTCTCCTCCCACAAGCGGATTGGCCCTGGCACATTTTCCTAAAATCGAACCATCATCCCTGGTCAGCGTCGCAGCGGGGTGTGCTCTAGAGGCGGTGGGTGAGATCACCGCCTTGGTATCTGTTTTGCTTCTTGTTTGCCCACCCAAAAAAAAAAACCAAAAAAAAACTTTTTCGCACTCAGATCGTGCATCCTAGCCAGGGGCAGAATTTGGACGTTAAAGGCAGGTGTGATTTTCCCGCTTCGCCTCGTGCCTGTTGGTATGTAATGGTCGTCGTCGCATTCGTCGCTTCCCCTCGACCCCTTTCATTTGCCCATACAGTCAGCCCAAGGAAACGTGACCATCAAATCGAGCGGCCCAATGTTACCCGCCAGCCGTGAACCCCCATGCCAATCAATGCTCCTCCCCGTGCTGTCCAGGAAGGTGTGTGTCTTTCGGTAGTGCCTGGGATGGCGCCCACAACCGAGCGCCTGGACTCCGCCGCCTCATTTCCGGGGAATTGGAGATGGCGAGCGGCACTTCGCTCGGCTCTGGTGGGCCCCTCCCCTCCTGCCAGGGGGTTACATTGCCCAGCGCGCAATTGGCGCGCGTCGATATCGCCTGCAAAAGGTTATATCTGGCGGGTCCTGTCAATCCGATTCAATCGGATTTAGTCTTTTCGGCACACAAAACGTCACCGATCCACAGACCAGGAGTCGGAGTGGACCCTGGTGGACCCCTGCCCTCATCGCCCAGCCAAACTCTTTGTGCGCCATTTGGAGTGGTGTCGTGCTTGTCATCCATGCCCTGTCACTGACTGTGCACAACCTGTACTTTTACTGCTGACGTTCGCGAGGCCTGGTCCAGCCTATAATGCTTGTCGTTGGTACGAGGTTTCGAGGCTAGTATGTGGTCTCCCCTGTCCAAAAAGAAGTCCACGCGACCGTTCTGATGTGTAAGTCATGTAATCCACGCCTCAGATGCCTCTTATGCCTGGAAAGAAAAAACCTGGTTGGAAGAGTGGGGCAGTCTTGGCTCCCCAAAGGGGCGTTTCGCGGTTGTTGATCCCGTAAAATTGATTGTTTCCGGCTTCGCCGAGCGCAATGCCATCAATTACATCCCAGCAGTAAACAAACAACCAATTACCCAAAAGCGGAAAAGACGAGGAAGGTTGGACAGAAGCGTAAAAATACAACGGCGCTCCTGTCAGAAACGCAGATCCCCATCGAACTGATGGGTTCCTGGATCTTCTAGGTAACATGAGCGCAGACGAGCGCAAAGGACAGCCCCAAAAAGGCAAGCGCAATTGGGAGCGACCAAGGCGGCAGTTCCAATTAGGCGAGGCCAAAAACATATGACCACACACACCACTGGCGCGGAATGCGTGGGGCGGCCCGAGAAGGGCTAGAAATTGGGGAGGGTGGCAGACCAACACGTGGTTCTCTCGCCCCAGCCCGCAATTTTTCGGCCCGGGTAGACGCAGGCCATCTCGCCGGCCGCCACCCGTTTGTTAAATACCGTTGCTACTGCCGTTGCCAAGGCGGGGAGGATGTCGCTGGCGCTGGATTGCGGATAGGCTACGGAGGGCTAGCAAAACGATGGCTCGCAATTACAAATCACACAGGGATAACTTCCCCGCACATTTTTCGGGTTTTCTAATGAGAACAAGCAAAACAACATGGGATAGTTCCTTGCAATGTGACGACGGATGAACTTTTGACCTTCCTCACTAGTCACCCCCTTTCCCAACAACCTGGTTCAAAGGGCATAGCCTGGTCCACGAACTTTGCGGTGCTCATGCCCGCCGTGACACGAGGCAGCGGACGGAAGGTGTGCTGGCTATCGAGCAACACATGTTATCCCCACTCCGCGCTTTCGAATTCTTCCGGCGGACGCGTGGGTCGCTGCGTGCGTCCACGAGAGACATGCGTCTAGACACACGTCTGGACCGACTTGCGCACCTGGTGGATCTCAGCGCCAGGTGCAAATTTATACAGGCCCCCTACCCGAGGTCACTTCGGTCGGCGATGAGGTGGGTTTGCTGAAGGGTGATATGTAGGTAAGGTTTTCATCCATCTGCCTAGGGGGGGAGGGGGGCTCGCCCTCGGCGGCTTTTCCATATCGGGGTGGGTAGGCCGCCTCCGCGTTGGCGTCCTACGGGTGGGAGGGATCATGGAAGAAACCCCCCGGGGGTAGCCGGTGAGGCCCATGGACGCGTAATACACAGAGGCTGTCATTCTCTGGCGGGGTGGGCAAATGAGAATATGCAGTTCGGATGACACCAATCGAAACATCTCTATTAAACTTCCAACTTTCCGGTCCTTTTGACAGATACCCAAGTAGTTTAAAGAGCGGTAAGCACACGAGAGCCACAACCAGGAGTCAGGGTGGAGGCGTTGGTGGCTTCTCGTCCTCCCACTCGGGCGGCCACGGCGTGTCAGCGCTGGCCTCGTCGTCTTCCAGAAACCTAACAGCCCCTTTAGTCGGATCCAGCTCCTTTTCCACGAATCGGCGCTCGGGACCCGCCACCGCATCCACGTCCTGCAGCTGCGTCAGCGCCGTCCGCAGAGCTTACGCGACCTTCCCCATGAGGCCGTCCCCCTCGCCCCCATCTCTCCATCGAGCACTCGAACAGGGGCTCCAGGATGTCACGAGCCTCGCGCTGCGCCCCCCTGCCGCAGCCTCACCGCGACGAAGTCCGGCTCGGCCCTGGCGATTAATGGGTGCTTCGGGGGGCCCATGAACCTGTCCTTCATGCTGCGCAGGACGTCGGAGTAGATGGTCGCCGCCTCGTGTAGACACTTCCAGAGCGGGATGTGGCTGTCCAATTCGGCCAGCTTTCTGTTGGTCTCCCCGAGGAGTTCGTCCTCGCCGGGTATGTTTTCGACCACTAAGACGAGCCCTTCCATCGCCCGTTTGGCCTCGATAATACTCGCCCTCCGATTTGTCACAAGTGCCTCCAGGAAGCAAAGGAAAGCAGTCTCCTCCAATACACGCAGCTCCTACTTCCTGTCCTTCTCCTGCTCCTTTTCCTTAGCCGTCTTCAGGTCCTCCAGCTGCCTCACGACACTGGCCGCCTCCGCCGTGCGTCGATTGCTCCCTAGTCTGGTTGGTTCATCGCAAACACCCTGGGTAAGGACGAACTCTAGGAGCATGGTTGATTCCGAATGGCGGTTGTTAGCGGCTAGGACTCCGCAGAAGGTCAGAACCGAATCGGCAGTGAATCTCCGGAATCTCCAGCCAGTGATCGACTCGAGCCCAGGAGGGTCGCATATCAGCCACTTGATCCGCTGGAGAAACTTCTCAAAGTGAGGCATGTAATGAACCTTCTAGGAGTACGATTCCCGCTGCAGCCGGCGTACCGGCCCATCCTTCCGGTTCCTTTCCTCCATGTAGTTGAAGTAATCCGGCGGAGCACTATCTCGGGGCATCCGGGCACCTTGACCCATCCTAAGTTCTTGCGCTTGATGACTTATTGCAGTAAGAATGCTTGGATCAGCGGATTGATTACCTACTCCTTGTCGGACTCATCACCTGGTGGTATGTATCCGCGTTTTCCTAAGAAGGCGAGTATCGTCTCGCGGAAGGTGGCTTCCGAGAGTTCGCGACAGACATAAGCTTTTTCGACTTTAGTGACCAGTCGTAGGTACTCGGCGACGTAGGTTGACGCGGTGCCTCGCTGCTTCAGCTGAAGCAGCTCTCTCTCGTCTACCCGTACCTCGTCTACCTGGCTAAAGACGTCGACCAGTCTCTCACCAAACTTGCTGAAGTCTGCAAACACGATCTTGATGCCCTCTTCCGACTTGTCGTACCCCTCTAGGAAGTCGGCCCACATGGGTTGGACCACTCCTTCTTGACTTTGCCGTCCAGTCGGGTGGCGGCATAGTTGATTTTCTGTTCCTCGGTGACGAAGTCGTTCTGGTAGAAGGCGAGGTATTCCTTGTATTCGGTCAGGAAAGGGCTGGGCTTGCCCTCCTGCCCTCCTTACGGCTGAGGAGCTGGGAACTTGTAAGTCTTGATAGAGGTCTTGGGTACGTTTCGAAATGCCGCGGCATCGTCCTGAGCCTTTCTGTCGAAGTCAAACTCTCGGTCACCAATCCGGATGATCCGAGACGGCTTAGCCTCGGCCTTCCTGGAAGTCTCGGCCATTGCTACCGTTCGGGTGCCCTCGGTGGGTACTGAATAGGATCAGCTAAAATGTTGCAAACAAGCCTTCTGCTCCTAAGGTAGGGCACCCCAGGGAGGTGTAGCTGGGCAGTAGCGCTGTTTAGACAAGGGGAATATTGGGATCTTGGGTGCAGGCCTGGATGCTTGCTCCAAGGGATACTTGGAAGCTACCTTAGATTAACTAATGGCAGTGCATCTTTCAAGGGTACCTAGGACAATAGGAAATCCTCCATTTATACACGAGTCTGCTGGTGATACTTTTCTTGGGATCTGTGATTTGTCTGTCCTGCGGTATAAATCACAGACCCTTCCTGTCCGTGACCCGCGGTCTGTGATCTGTAGCGACGGATCACAGATCACAGATCGCACCTGATTAGATAACCATGTCACATGGCTCGTCTATTCTCTTCTAGCGAGAGGCCTGGAGGTGTCCTCTTCCTGGCCCCTCCTTGGTTAGGGGAGCCCGGTCGCAACACCCGCCGACTTGGATCCCAATGCCGCAACAAATATGTTTTTGAAGCCGCCCATAACGAGTTATAGTCGGGAGCCCAGATTCCCCGTGCGTACCTATCTCCCGGGCATGCTTATGAGCAGTCACTGTCGGAATCAGATAGCTCCTGGATCCGACCCGCCCTTGCCGCCTCGACCACTGGATTTTCAACGCTGATTACTCCATTCTCCCGAAGCCTGCAGAGGGAAAAAGAGATACATAGTAAAAATGAATATGACAAGGAGGTTTGAGGAAGCGTTAATATATTGCCGGGGCGGACAACGACCAGGGCAACGAACCTCTCAAACAAGGTGAAAAGCCGGTCGGCTTCTCGCTCCTCCTCTCGCGTCATCTCCGGAAGCCCCTCTTGCACCCCAATCTCCATACTTTGTTGCTGGCCAGTGATGGGGTCTGTCGCTACCGTTTGCCTTTGGACGTCAGGCATGGGCGCGGTAAGCGGTAGGCCTAAACATTGTAGCAGGCCAGCCGCGCAGCCAAATCCGACATTGTGGACAAGCTGGTCCGGGATGCCATCCGACAGTTCAAACAACAGGCTTGCTAGGACGGATTTTAGGGCCGTTGCCGCTTCGGTAGTGGTTGCCACCACCAGGTGGGGCAGCGAATCTCCCCTGCCCAAAGGCTGTTGCCGGTCTTGGTTTGTAGCCAACAGTCGCGATTGCATCTGTTGCTTGTCACTTGTTGCAAGTTTCCATTTGGAAACATGGTACATAAGCGACACAAGCGGCGTAATCCGAGTCTCGAAATCGGCTTGCGTCCGATAAGCCCGGATAGCACATCCCAGGATGTTTGCTAGCTTATCCGCGTGAAACGACGTTGGCGGCTGCACACCCATGGTTTCACTCAACGAAGGCAACAGGGTGGCGAGACAATCGATCAGCTGAGCGATGGGCTGCTCCAGCGGGCCTTCGGGGCGGACATTCGACCAGCTCAGCATCTAGAATAGTCCGTCCAGCGAGCAGAGGAAGCGGCAGGCATAAGCATCATACCGGGCCGTAAGGACCGACAGGAGGGAGAGATGAGTAAGGTGGGATGCATCCAGCTGCTGCTTCGCAGCCGCTTCCACACAACGAGCTACGCCCCGCAAAACAGTAAATTAGCGATTGAATATGATTGTGTGGTCAGGGCGTAACATACCCCATTGACCGCGTCGGTGAGATGATGGTTTGCTAGATGAGGTTTTAAATGCTGAGAGACGCGGAGCAGCAGTCTAGCTGCAAGTTCCCCAAGGTCCGGGCCCTGGCAGTTATCATGGTAAAAAGGCATTAGTTACGTTGGGAAAAGGGGGAACCTCGGGCTGGAAATGCTTGCGTTGGCTAACCTTGTTCAAAAGCTCGATGGCCTTTTCGGGCAGGCACGCGTCCACGAACATTTGCTCTATCGGGGTATGGAGCACCAAAACATTGTTCAAACATCGTAAGGCAGAAATCTGGCCACTGGTGGGATCGCAGCCGCAACCGAACCCGAAGCGTGCGATAACTGCCAGGTCAGCGCTCGTGAGAGAAGCGGCCAGTTCCCGACCAACCGTGCTTTTGGTGAGCGCGTGCAGCTGTCCGAGCCATTCGTTGCAATCGGCTAAAGGTCGGGAACTGTTAGCAAAGGTCCCTATGTTTAATTCCGTAGTTCAAATAGGAATTGATGCAGCGCGTACCTGTGTTTCTGGCTTCGGACTGCTCGAGATTCCGCAGCAGCGTTTGGCCCTGCTCAGCCTGGACTAGCGAATTCGTGCGGTCAGTAACGCCGTTCGAGGCCTGGAGCGATTTTGAAATGCATGCCGTAACTTGCCATCTTATCAGTGCTCGTAAGTGAGAGCAACGACGTGGTGGGAGATTGACAGAGGCGTATGGTGAAGACGACACGGACGCTCGGCATCCCGTTTTTGTGTATCGACTCCCTATGCATCACCCAGGATAGCAGGACGGGAAAGGTGACTTTGACGTCGAGGCGAAGCACATGGAGTCGGTCTTCAGTGGCGCGCACTGTGTTCTCGCAGCCAGCCGCGCCACCGGGATGGCATCGGGATTCCTGGCTCCGCGGTCGAAAGAAAGAGCCTACGTCACAGTAAGCGGCGACGGTGATGGCCAGGAGCCGCTCTACATCTGCCGCAACTTCGACAACTTCGACAAGGATGTGCTTCAGGGGCGCCTGAACACCAGGGGCTGGGTGTACCAGGAGCGAGCCCTGGACCGCCGGACCATCTTCTTCACCAAGTAGTAGATACACTCTGAGTGTGGCACTGGAATCTCGTGCGAGACGATGAGCAAGATTGAAAGTAAGTGGTCCCAAGATGCGCCCACGAGAGGAGCAGGACTCCATCTGATCGAGTCGCATTATGAAGACGTTCCAGCACGAAGGCGTCGTTCTTGGGTGACCCGAACTTCCCAAGGATCGTCCTCGACGTCAAACGAGGCGCCAAGATCGCCAACTTCCAGGAGCTGTACAAGAAATACAGCGGCCTTCACTTGTCCTACCAGACAGATCGCCCGTGGCAGTGCAGGGGCTGGAAAGCCGGCTTCTCCGGCCCTGGGGGCTCGCGGCGGCGGCCTGGGCATTACCGACGGCGGGCGCGGGCTCCTGAGGTGCAGCCGTCTTTGTGTCCGCAAGGAGGGCGATAATGCGGACGGCTCGCCGAATCAGATGGTCCCAGTCTCCGAGGTCAAGGTGACTTCCTGGTCCTGGATGTCGTACATGGGGCAGATCGACTACCTGATGCCCGCCCTCGGGCGGGGAGTGGGAAAGCCTGCGCATGAGCTCGTATATTGATGATGCTGCCGCTACCACCGGCGCCGCATCGGGCAGCTCCCCCGCGACCGAGGGCAGACCGAGTGATCGTATCCTGATCGCACCTATCCAGAACATGAGATCATCGCCTGGGCTGGCCCCCAAAGGCAGCGCCGACGAGGCCAAGTTGATCTACGACACGGTGAGAACGCGGGCGAAGGAAGCGCCGCCAGTGCAGTGTGTTGTCATGGGCGTGAGCAAACCGGGCAAAGCACTAAACCACCGATTCGTACTTTGCAGAGGGGAATCATCTACCGACCCTCACCTCTGGCAGCCTTGCGCTCGGTAATACTTGACGTCCCAAACACTCGCGATAGAATATCCATGCTCGTCTTGACTCGGTAGGCGGCCGTGACAAAATGATGATCGCCAAAAGCTGAAGTGGTCTGTTCTGCGCGGAATGTGGGAGAATCTGCCTGATTGGACCAGACCCGCTAAAAGCGCATTCAGACCGCTTCAACTTTCCCTCGCCGTCGTCGATGAATTTAGGGACGGTTCAATTGTTTCCCCGCAATGGCTGCCGTCTCCTCAATACTCGAGCTTGGCAAAGGGGTTCGTGAGCGTGTGGGGCGCCGTCTCTTGCGCGGTATTTAAAGGTTGGACGATGTCGGATAGCCTCCATGCCCACGGCATCATCGTGGCGCAACGGTTGGACCACGGGCACCATCGACCATGAAGTTCCAGACGTTCCGAGCTCTTGCATCCGTCGCCGCCCTCGCGGGGCAGTGCCACGCTCTGCCGAGCGGTGGCACGGCCGTCGAGACCAAGAATGGCGTCATCAACGGCTTCACCGACCCGTCCACAGCGCCCGGCGTCGTCCAGTTCCTGGGGATCCCGTTCGCCGAGCCCCCCGTGGGCGCACGCCGGTGGCTACCCGCACTTGCGAAGAAGTCATTCAACGGAACGCTAGACGCGCTCGCGCAGGGCCCGACCTGTGCCCAGACCGACCCGCCAAGCCCGACGGGCGCCTGGCTGGACGAGTTCCTCATCCGGCCCGGCAGCGCCAGCGAGGACTGCCTGTACCTGAACGTGTGGGCGCCAAAAAGTGCTCCGGGCAACTTGTCCCTTCCGGTCGTCGTGTGGCTGCACGGCGGTGGCCTGACAGAGGGCGGCGGCGACATCGCATACCAGATACCCTTGAACTGGGTGGGGCGGCGCGAGAAGCACATTGTGGTTGGCATCAAGTACGTCGAGCCCCTGGGCCGGTTTGGAGAGCTGATGCTGACTTTGTTCCAGCTATCGATTGGGACTGTTTGGTTTCCCCAACGCAGCGGGTCTCGACCCCAAGGAGCAGAATCTCGGGCTCCTGGACCAGCGACTAGCCATCGAGTGGGTGAGAGACAACATCGCTGCATTCGGCGGTGACCCAAAGCGCATCGTCCTCTGGGGCCAAAGCGCCGGTGCTGCCTCTGTCTCGTACTACCAATACGCCTACCACGAGGATCCCGTGGCCATCGGATTCATAAAAAATTCGGGCTCTCCGTTCATGCCCATTTCGGCCTCCGATCCCACCCACACGGCGTTTTCCAGCCTCGCAGCCGGCTTTGGGTGCGCCAAGGAGGGCGAATTGGACTGCCTGAGGAACGTGGAATGGAAAGACCTGCAGAAATACAGAGACGAAAACCAGCTCCAGTTCAGGGTCGTTGTGGACGAGACTACCGTGTTTTCTGATTATGCGGAGCGGACACTGACTGGACAAGTTGCCAAGGGTGTAAGAACTCCTCCACCTGCCGCTTGCATGTCTTGCATTTGACTGACAACCTCGCAGCCCGCCATTACCGGAACGACGCGCGACGAGTGGAACTTTTTCGGCAACGCCGGCCCGCCTCCGGACAACACGACCGTGCCCGGGGACAGCATCTTCGGCTGCCCGGCGCACTTCGAGACCAGCCTGCGCGGCGGCGCCGGCCTCGCGACCTTCCGATATCTTTACAGCGCCAACAACACGAACGTGATGCCGCGCGGCCATGGCGCGTTCCACTCGGCGGAGCTGCCCCTGATCTTTGGGACTCACAACATCGCGCGCACGCAGTCGACCCAGTTCGAGCACGAGCTCAGCGACGCCATGCAGGACCTCTTCCTCGCCTTCATCGAAGACCCGGCGGCGGGCCTGATGGGCAAGGGCTGGGAGCCGACCCCGCCCGGCCCGCTGGGCACGGTCCAGACCGGCGTCGAGCTCGGCGGTGATGGCCAGTTAGTACGGAAATATTCATGGGAGGCGTGGCAAGTTCAATGCAAGAACAGCACTGCGGCCTGGTAGAGTAAGTAGGAGCATGTGAGAACATTTCGGCCTCCAAACGTATGCAGCGAAGAGAAAATGGAATTAAATTCCCCAGTATGTATTGCCCGCTCTATATCGGCATGCAAGGCAGGTCGCCGCATGACGTGGCGTTGGCGAAACAACAAGACCAACCAACCCAACCGGAATCTACGACACATTTGAACTTTTGTTTTCTCTCCCTGCTCTTGTTCTCTCCTCTTTCGTTTCTGGTCTCGGACATTCTCTTCGCTATCATTTTCTGATCTTTCCGTTACTCCGCCGGCTCCTGATCCTCTGTTCCCTTTCTTGGCATACTTTTGTTGACAAAAAGCCCCCGCCCCCATTGAACCCATTTGTGTTAGTGCTGCCACAAATATCACTATTTCGGTCCGGTGGGGCGCGCCCGTTCTGCTCGCGCTTATGTGCGCCCTATCGTCAGCCCTAGGCGCGCTAAATCTAGACCTGCTGCCCTCGCCTATGTGGCCTCGCAATGATGATGGCAGAATCCTGGCGTGTGGCGCGGCAACCCAGCCCCGCAAAAGTGCAGCTGGCGCCTGTCGGCACTTGACTTGCCGCGCTGGGCCGGGCATTCTCATGGGGGCCATGGGATACCACAGCCACATCGACCGCAACCGCCGGAAGGCCTTGGTCCGAAGATGCCGGAAAACCGCTTTGTAGGGCGGATCTGTGGCCGCGGCCTACCAGGCGGAGCTGTCAGCATGTAAGCTGCGGTGCTGCGTTGGTGATGATTTGGGGGCTCTGTTGTGTTGAATGCGCAAACTTCCCAAATCCGGAATATGATGATATTTAGGTGGAGAGGTTCAGATGTGTATAAAACGCTTGCCGTCGACGACCTACTTTCTGGATAGGATACCCTCACTCCATCAGCCCAACACAGTCAGAACAAACACAGGCATCAATCCAACCAACAAAACAAGTTCAGCCCGCCCAACCCTCTCGAGACTCCTGTTCCCATACAGCACCACAACCGCCAACATGAAGTACACCGCCGCCCTCGCTGCCATCTTCGCCGCCCTGGCCGCGGCCGCTCCCACGCCGGTCGAGTCGCGCCAGGCCAAGGGCAGCGCCATCCTGCAGTTCGAGATCGACAATGACACCTTCACCTCCAACACCAAGATCAACGTGCCCGGCACCCTCGAGTTCAACAACGCCCAGCGGCCGCTCCGCGTCATCGCCGCCACCATCGCGACCACCCAGAACATCGCCAAGCCCGCCGCCGTCCGCTGCCAGGCCTTTGACAAGCAGGGGAAGGCGGTGGGGCCCAAGTTCGGGAACGACAAGCTTGTCAGCCTCGCCGGCGGCAAGAAGGTTGAGGTTGGGAAAATTACTTGCCAGTAGCGCTGGAACCGACCCCGGCTTTTCTATATTCTCGTTTTCTTTCCTTTTTACTTTCCAGGCATTTTTGGTTCGACAAGCATATTTGGTGGCATTGTTTATTTCCTTTTTCGGATGGCGCTAGCGCAGCATTAGAAGCCCGGGCGTGGGACATGGATGTATTGGACAAGGATAGGGACCTCTAGTTCGTGCTGTAGTTGTTCCTAGAGGCTGCCTGAAAGGAGCACTTGCAGTGTGGAGTCTGTGTCTCTTCCGCATTTTAAATTCATTGACCAGCAGCTGCAAAGCCTGCATGCAGCTGGTCTTCAAAGAAGTTAATTCGAGACCAACTTGATTGAATCCTTTACTACGTGCCAGCCTGTACGCCTGGCGCCTGCTATCAGCCACGCAAGTGGCATGTGGCGCAGCATATTCACTACGCAATCACTTGCTGTGGCGACGCGAGGGAATTTGGCGGGGAAATCTCCAACTGCCCGCAGGCGCCAATCAGATGGTCTCGCTTGGCTCCGCCACCATGATGATGTCAACCCTGGACGATGCCCGGACGGGACCCTTGATTTGCCTCGACTCAACCATCACCATCATCGTCGAAGCGACGACGATCTTTGCACACCTAACTTCCATTCCCGGCAACTGCCGCGCGTCCTGTTGACTGTACTAGATCAACACCTCGCGCAATAAAAACACTCAACTTTCCCGATCTCTGTCCTCTTGTACCTCGCCCATCTCCCTCAACCACACTACCCCACATTCACCCTTCCCAAAACCCCAGGCCGCCAAATAGCGCAATGTCTCTCCCACCAACGATGAGCGGCGCCAACAGCGGCAAGCCCAGCTCCGGCAACTATCCTCCTCCTGCTCCCGGAGGCCCTCCCGCAGATAGCCAGGGCAAGCCAGCCCCCAACCAGATACCTGCCTACAACCCCGCCGCCCCGGCGTTTGCCGCGCCCCCTAGCAGGGCAGACAGCGACATCTACAATGCCACCGACGATGAGGCCCCTCCCCCGATGCCAACACGTCCCGGCCATGGCCACCCTGTGACTGGAACAACGGGCACGACTACCGGTCCGGCCGCGGCCGCCCCTGCGGCAACAAAGTCCAAGTTCTCTCTGTCGTCCTTCAGCCAGAAGCTCACTGGAGGCATTAATCAACTGGCGAACAAGATGGGCTCCGAGGGCTTCCTGCCCGACAGTCTTGATGTGGAATGCGAGAAGGCTGCGCGGACTCTCAAGGCATTTTGCAAGGAAGGTCTCGACCCCGAAACCGCCGCTGAAGCCCCTCCCCACACCCTCGATGTCCCTCCCAACGGCAGACCCACCTCGAGCGGAAGAACGTCGCCCGACCCCAAGGCCGACAAGAAGCGCAAGAGCAGTACTCTAGTGCACATACCCACCAAGGCCTTCTCTCGTGCTGTGGGCCTTGCCATCTTCACCAACGCCCGCGCCGCATATTTCGTCACGGGCTCCATCGGCTCTGGCGTGCTCATCTCGCGCCTTCCCAACGGCGGCTGGTCTGCCCCTGTTGGGATCCACGTGAGAATCGGGGGTGTGGGTGCGGCCGCCGGTGCCGACATTTTCGACTGCGTCGTTATCTTCAACAACCGCGAGACTCTAGACAGCTTTACTCGTACCGGATCCATCACCCTTGGCGGCGGTGGCGTCTCGCTCGCGGCTGGAAAATGGGGAGCTGGCGGGAATCTTGACTTTGCCGCGTCTGATGCCACCGCCAAAGGCAAGGGCAAGGGAAAGGAGGGCGAGGCGGTCGACGGATCCCACCCAGTCGCTGGAGACAAGCCCGCTGCTGTTGCAGACTCGAAACTCGGGCAGCCCCCTGCCTCGGCCGCTGGCGATGGCAAACAGAGATCTCGCTCGCCATTCCCTGGCTCAGCCGTGGTATCGTACGTGCGCTCAAGGGGCCTTTACGGTGGCATCCAGGTCGATGGCACTGTTCTTTCGGAGCGAAAGGACGGGAACGCGCGCTTCTACAACCAGGAGGGCATCACTGTTGCACAGATTCTGAGCAAGGATGCCGCTGAGCCTGCCGCTGCTGCGGGGACGCATCCGTGGCAGAAGCATGCTCATATACTCCTTGAAGCCGTCCGCTCTGCTGAGGGCTACCGCGCCGGAAGTGACCCCAACACTCCTCTGGACCCGCCCACAACTCTGATGAGCAACGTGCGGCTTGGTGGCGACAACTCTGCCGCTGCGCCACCCCCTGCCGCGCCGGTTGGCGACTCGAAGGTCGGCGCGCCCCAGTCTACCTGGACGGCCCCAACCTCTGCCCCACAGGGCGCCAGCATAATGCCGGGTGGCGGCGCGTTCCCGCCGCCTCCACCCGGGCCGCCGCCCAACGTGGCCCCAGCCATGGCCAACTGGAAGGCCGAGGAGGCGGCCAAGGAAACTGCGGCGGCGGCGCAACAGGCTGGCGGCAGCTCATTTCCCCCGCCGCCCCCTGGCCCTCCGCCCAATGTCGGCCCCGCCATGGTGCAGTGGAAGCAAGACGAGGCTGCGAGGGAGGCGGCCGGCAACTCGCAGGCAAATGCCCCTCCACCTCCAAGCTACTCCCAGTTTGATACCACACATTCAGCACCGCCGCCTCCCCAGGCCGGCGGCTCCGGACAGGCCTCCGACTTGCCGCCTGCCTACGTGGACGACGGTGGGCCGAAGCCTGGTGTCGGCGATTCCAAAACAGGCCGTCATTGAGTAGATGCATTGTTGGTGGAGAAATAGGTTGGCCCGCTGACGCCTCTTCGTTCTATCTTTGGCTTGTCCTTGACTCTGCGTTACGTTTAACTTTATGAATAGCCGCAAAAGAGCTTTCCTGAATCCCACGTGTCTCTGTTGAGCCATGATCGTCCATGAGATTCCCATTGATTACCTTCTTACGTTCCCATTTTTCCCTCATATCGCTTTGCTGCCTAAATCCTATCTTTTCCTGTTTCTATTTTCTGTTTCTCTTTCCCTTTGAAGTTTTCCTGCCCTTTGTCTCTCTTCTTCCCAGCTTTCTGCCTCTTTAAATACATACCTTCACTCTTCTCGCAACAACTCCTAATATCCGGTTTGGGTAGTGCCCCCTTTGATCTGCCAACAGCGTAGAACTGCTGTCTTCCGCTTTCTCTCAACGGACAATGAACTTTCTAACCGATGCGTTCGTGTTTGCCATGGCATCCCCAGTGGGACAATGGTTCCGCCTCTCCCCGGTGACGACGGGCAGTGAAATGGCAAGTTTGTCCAACCCAGAAAAGATGGAATCAGAATCGAAAAAAGAGCTAGAAGGAAACGGAAGTGCCAGTTCAGAAACTGTTGATATAAACTTGGTGACTGCCACCCTGCCATTCTCACAGCCCCTGGAGTCCTGTCTTCCGAATATTTCATGGACTCCAACAGCTTTTGATCGCTTGCATAATTCCCAATTCTCTTGCAACAGACTGGCATCTCCATCTTGCCCCCAAGATGCCCCTGTTTCAGCTGCCTATCGAATGGGGTCGCCCAGTCTCCAGCCAACTCCACTGCGATGCGTCTATTCTCGCGGCGGTGCACTCATCCAAGAACCGCGAGAATTTTCGGCGTACCAGAAGCAAGACAGCAAACCTAGCGCGGGAGCAAGCGGGCGAATCTAGCGGCTCGACCGGTGGTAGTGGCAGCGCCGACATGCCTGGCTCTGGCGGAGCTGAAGGGTCGGCCACTGGAGAGGGAGAAGAGACCGGTGGCGAGGATGAGGGGCCGGAAGACGATCCTCCTGAGGATAGAGATGAGCTAGACCGAAGTGATGAACCGGCAGAGGGTGACGAAGAAGACGTCAAGACCGACCTCCGGGTGATCTTCCTCATCAAGACCGACCACCCTGACCAGGACTTTCTTCAAGGTATCCGCTAGTTAACCTCTACCTTGGTCGTATAGTTTTTATCAAGCACTAACCCACCCTGCACTTAGGCAATAGCTATTATTTGGCTATCCCGTATCGCGCAGCCCATGAACCCATTTGCCCCAGACCTTGGACTAGACAGCTTGATGAGGTGTCTGACCAGAGCGTGAAGAAGAAATTGATAGAGGACGAGGAAGGGGTCCAGGGAGACGCCGGGCACGCAATGCATCAGTCACTCGCGACAGCACTCCACGTCAAAGAGCTCTCGCAGCAGGGTAAAGTCGAGTTCGAGGTCGAGATCAGGGCCTACAAGAACGAGATCCTGGACGAGCTGGCGCGGGAGCACAGGTCAGCCCCCGACGGGCAGCAGCAGGAGACCATACTCGTGATCATGTACACGGGGACGCCCGACGTCGAGAGCACGCCGGCCCCGTGGAAGGCACTGCCCCGGGGAAAACTGCCGGGCCTGCGGCTGTACCCGTGCGAGACGGAGATGATGAGCGAGAACGGCAAGATCGACGACATGGTCGCGCTCGACGCGGTCGCCGCCGAGGGCGGCCACTGGCGGCCGCAGACCTGCTTCGGCGTCCACTATGTCTTCAACGACGGGATCCCGCGCTGCCCCCTCATCGGCAGCGGCCGCACCGTCTACAAGCGCACGTGGAGCGACGCGAACCTGCACGTCGGCATCAAGCACACGCGCGAGTCGCCCCTCACATGCATGCCGCTGCCGGAGGCCCGCACCCGCGCCCGCCCCCAGGTCCCCGCCCGCGCCTCCGCCTCCGCCCGCGCCCCTGCCCAGGGACGCAGAAGGCCCTCGCGGCAGGTAGCCGCAAGCTCGGGCGACGACGGCCTTGACTATGACGGCGATGACGACGACGACGACGATGGCGATGATGGCGATGATGGCGGCGACGGCGCCCCCGCCAAGAAGCTCAAGTTTACGGTCGAGGACCACATCGTGCCGCGCGGCGCCAGGCTGCAGACGCGCTGGTTCCACCAGGAGCTGGTGCCGTCGCTGCAGCACGGCGAGTTCCGCGTCTTCGTGGCCACGAAGCCCGACCCGGATGGGCTGCGGGGCCGGCGCGGATACGTGGTGCACTGGATCGTGACGGCCACGCGGCGCGACAACCGCGAGTGCGGCGACAACATGCTCGTGACGCGCCCGGACCTGGGCGGGAGCAGCAGCGACGACCCGGCCGGGCCCGGCGGCGAGCTGGCGGGCATGGACGGCAAGGACCCGTTCGCGGCGCGCGGCACGACGCACGGGGCCGTCGTGACCTTTGCGCTCGAGGTGTTCGAGGCGCTCCGGCACAAAGGCGGCGCCGCGTTCGACTCGCTCGAGGTCGGCTGCCGCGTCGACGTGGGCGTCCGCGCGCCGCGGTCGCTGCCTGGAGGCGAGGGAGAGGGTGAGGGCGAGGACGAGGCCAAGCTGTTTGTGAACGAGATCAACAGATGGTATTCCGCGACGTACTTCTCCATCGAGTCGCTGCCGTCGCCGCACACCAAGATCTGCGCGCACTTTGCGCTCGCCTTCGCCAACTGGATCCGGAGCGGCGGCCACAAGCGGGACTTGGACGAGGGGCCGTCGGCCATTGAGGGTTAGGGGCTTATTGATTCGAGGAGGGGAGGTGTGTCGTAAACGCCACGGCAAGGAAAACCTGATAGGTGTAGGAGTGCTGCGGATGGAGAGGAAGCTTATGTCAACTGTTGGACAAGCTGTGAATTACTGTCTGGGTTTCGCGTAAATAGACCAGCTTTCTGTGCAGCATGTGGGAGTGCCTAGAAAGATTAGGCAAGGTCGTACTATCCAGGTAGCAGTAGCCACGACGTTGTTGGCTAGGGTGGCACGACACTACCCTACGTGTGTGTCGATATCTCAGCCATGTTGACAAAGACTATCCCCTTTGAGTGCCTGCCGTTAAGGTGTTTACCGCCGGCCACATCTGTGTTAATAGTCCACAAGTATAAAAGTAAACCAGGAATAAGAACTAGATTAGGAATATGACCAGGAATAAGACCGGGACCAGGAAGAGGAGGTATGTGGCAGTCCTCGTCACAACCTCAAAATCACATTCACAAACAGTGGTGCAGCGTCGGGAAGAAGCGACAGCGGCCGCCGCTGAACGAGACGAAGCGGCATCCCGCCCTTCGGTGTGATGGGACGTCTCTTTTGTATTTCTCCTCGAGGTGCAGGCCGCGCCCACCAGCAGTGTGTGACGGCTCGTATATACATCTTCTTTTCCAGCATATACACCCACCTTTTGCGTGCCCGCCCCCTACCTCGCCAGGCCCTTCTCGGCATAAAACTCACCGACCCATTCGGCCATCTGCGCGACTTGTTCGTCGGCGATCTTCCTCGCGCCCTCGTTGGCGGCCCAGTTAGGGCCGTAGAGGTCCGAGCAGTGGACGCCGCCGGGCAGGACGCGGACCTGGGTGCCGTTCGGTTTGCTCTGCATGGGCCCTCCCGGGCGGACGGACGAGCTGACGGTGACCTCGCGCCACGTGTCGTACTGGCCGTTGGCGTACATGAGGCGCGGGATGTTAAGGTCGGACCAGCCGCCGGTCCAGGCGTTGAGGTCGGCCTCGGTCCGTCCCAGGGCGTAGCCGTAGGCACCGCCGGGGAACCAGAGCTCGCACTGGTCCATCCAGTACTTGTTGTTGACGAGACGCGAGACGATCGAGGGGCGGTCCTTGGGGGCGCCGTTTTGCCACCAGCCGAAGCTTTTTTTTTTGTTAGTGGTCAGAGAGGAGAGGACAAGAGAGACAGACAGGGCATGAAACTCACGGCTCATTGCACAACATCCAGTTCCACTGTCTATTGACTGCGTGAGTATGACCGTTAGCGTGATATCTCGCGTTGGCGGGTTTTTTTTTTAAGAAAAAGGAAAAGGAATAAGGAATGAAAACAAAGCAAAAGGAAAAAAAGGCGGATTACCTGGGTTGTTATATCTCAGGTCGTGGTACTGCGGGTTGGACGCGTTCTGGTTCTGGTAGCAGGCCGTGTTGTTCTGGCCCTGCCACTCGGGATAGCCGGACGACTCGCACTGGCCGGGCAGCCAGAGCTCGGTGAACCACTTGGCGTACCCCTCGACGGCCTTGCACGAGCCCACGCCCTTCTCCCCGGGCACGGGGGTCGTCGAGCCGGGCCAGGCGCCCTCGACGTAGTCGCAGAAGCGGTGGAAACTGTTGAATCCGGGGCCGCCCAAATCCTTGTTTGCCGAGTAGAACTGAGTCGATTGCCAAAGCCATGGCCCGTTCTCTGCAAAGCCAGTCAGTAAAGTTCCAAATGCGAAAAAAAAAGAAATACGTGGTTAACCACTATGACGGGTGAGCTGGTCCGTACCAATGGCCTGACCAAAGTCGGCGTCGCTAAGACCGTCAAGCTTGAACTTGGCCTTGAGCTTGTCCTTTTGGGCCTGGCTGCCGGACATGAGGATGCCGTCCATGTAGTCGATGGCGGCCGACACGTCGCGGCTGCAGTTGCGCGGCATCGCCTCCTGGACGGGGACAAACATGGTCCACATGTCGGCCACGGCCTCGACGACGCCCGAGGACCCGTGGATGGCCCAAAAGGTTCCAGGGGCCTTGGCCGCGATCCACCCGGCCAGCGCGCCCGAGTAGGAGCCGCCCGAGTAGAGCCAGGGCACGCGGCCCGGGGCCGTGGCGCCCTCGGCGGGGTCGAAGGGGGCCTTGAAGTTGTGGGCAAAGTACACCATGTCCTGGATTGAGTTTTTCAGATCCAGGTACTTGAGATTCTCGCTCGTGAGCACCTTGTAGGGCGTGCTCTCGCCCCAGTAGCGGTGCTCGACCACGACGACGGCGGCCCCTATCTTCTCAGCCATCAGGCCAGCGAGACGACCTTTTGTGGTGTACGTCACGCTGAGCACGAGGAACGTTAGAATTCAGGCATTACACCCTCCCCAACGCTCGGAAACTGATGGGCAATGGGACACGCAGATCGCAAGGAGGGAGCTTCGTACTTGAATCCTGTTGCGGACTGTTCTCCTGGGTTCACCACGATGATGGGCGAGCCTGTCCCGTTCCAGAACTCGGTGCCGTACCAGAACCGCTGCTTGAACGTGCCCAGCTGCGGGTTGGCGTGGTCGATGAGCTGGTCGAACTCGCCCCAGCCGTTCATGGGGTCCGCGCGGCCGCGGCTCGTCGCCAAGGCGGAAAACAGCTCGACCTCGTCCTCGATTGGGCCGATCTCCATGCCGCTGCGGTGGAAGGAGACGGCAGAGACGGTGGTGGCGAGCAGCAGCGCCGCCGCCGCCGCCGCCGCGTTGCCGAGGGAGACTTTCATGGTGGCGGATGGGGGGAAGAGCGAGCAGAAACGAACTCACTCGCGGCGCACACGCACGACAAGGCTCCAGACCGAGAAGCAAGGGGGCATAAAGAAGGCGCCAGGAACAACGGCGCGGTGCCGGGTCCCCTGGAGGGATTTTATAGTCCCAAGAGAACGACATGGGCCCGGCTAAATTACCCGCCAGGCACATGGGCTGGCTGTTCTTTCGGGTGTGGGCTGCCATCTATAGGGGGGGGGGGGGGGGGGGGGTTGGCGGCAGTGTCGAGCTCGGCGCACTTGGCTGGGGGATCCGAACGGCCCGGATGTGGTGACAACCCAATGTAACATCGGCTAGTCCGGAACAGGCAAGTCGACTGCCGAAAGCGGCAGGTCGGCCATCGGAGCGGCGTCGAGCCCCTCCTGGACCCCATCCTGCGATGCATGGGCAAAGGCAATAAATGGGGCGCGGATAACGGTGTAAGGTGTAAGCTTTTCTAGTGCCACCCGCCATCTCGCCACTCTATTCCGACGTTGGTTCATCTTTGCGGGATTGCTT